AAGCCTTCACATCCAAGATGGGATTGGCAGGCAGAGCCTCACAGGCGGCTAAGATCCTGGAGTGGCCTAACAGAGTGGCGATGAAAGAGCAACAGTGTGAGCTGCCCCTCACTGGCCTCAAAAAGTAAAGTGACATTCAGTGATCAGTGAGGGGCTGGAGGGAGCAGTTCGCCCCCTCCACTCCCCAAACATTCTCTCTCAGCATTGCCTCCTTCATACAACTGCATGGTTCACTGAGTTGTGTACTAGCTGTTGAGCCAGGCTAGATATGCTGCAGTTAACCCGAAACATGGTGTTCACCCTCAAAACACAGTCACTACATTTTACAATATATCCTGTGAAACACTTTGAGATGTCCTTCCAATGTGAAAGGCGCTGTATAAAATGTAAGTATTTTTAAGCACTTGTGGCAAACAGGCAGGTGAATTGGGTTCATAGGCCATTCTGGAAAGGTTTCTTATGGTGATGAGCTAATCACACAATCAGCCTTGGGGTAATTGTTCCCAGCCAGTCCCCTCAGTGCAGCTCCTCATATCGTCACCCTTGCACTTGAGTTACAAAGGGTGATGCAGTGAGTTCTAAATTGTTGTCACTTTCTTTGTGAAGAAATTAATCCTAAACTCCCTATTTGATGAACAATGAGCTATCATATTTATGCTCTCAAGTCTTCTTTAAGTCTTCTGGTCCTTGACCAAGTCTACTTTGCCCTTATTCTCTGGCACTCTGTCACCAAAGCTCTCTATCTCGCGTTCTCCACTATGTTTTCAAAACTTTTTTTTAAAAAAAAACTCTCTCTGTTTGGTCATCTCCCTCCAACTTCCACCAGCTTGGGCTCCACCTTCTACTCTATTAAGCACTTTTAGATGTCTTCTATTTGAAAGGTGCTATATTTTTGTTTATACATCAAGTCCGACTATTACAGTATAAGTTGTTGTCAGACTGCATTGATTAATATTAATACTGTAATAGTTAGACTTGATGTATAAACAAAAATATTAACAATGGTATGTTAAGAATGGAATGATGGTAAGTGTATTACTATATTTTATAACATAAGTACTTTTGAATGTAGAAGATTAATGTGCCTTCAGTGGTTTAGTGGATATAAAGTCTGAGTTCCTGGTCTGGCTTCCACAGGAACAGGAACTAACTCTGTGCTGAGTTATTTGATCTCAGCTGAAGCTACAATGGGTGTCGGGCTCCGTCACTGTTAAGCGCTCGAGATGCTGCACTAGAAATGCATGTTGTTGGTGGTGGTGATGGAGTCAGGATTGGCCTTGGATCTTATGCTTTTGTAGTTGAAAACTCTGAACACTTTCACTCTAAGTTTACACACATAGAACAACCGCTTGCCTCAGTTAGCAGCACTCCTATCTCAAGGTGAATGTTCAATGCCCATGTTGGAACTTGAGTTCACAATCTGGGCTGACGCTCCAATGCAATAATGGGGAACTTTGTAGTGTCAGAGGTGTAGTCTTTTGAATTGTGATGTTAAATCAAAATCCATGTACCTGTCCTCCAGTGGATGTTCGCCAACAAAATACAGTCAATCTACTTTACAGTATATCATTTTGAGAAGTCTTTATTATTATGTTAAAGAACCCGTGACATTGTTCATCCGGTATTTTGGCAAACAATTCTTCAGATAAAATGGTTCATTCACACAATATCTGTTCATGGGATTTTGTTATGTGCAATATCTCATTTGGCCACGTGCAAATTGAAATAGTGAGGAACAGATTAGGAAAGTTAACACATAGCTAAAGGATTGGTGTGGGAAAGAAGAGTTCCACTTCATGGGACACTGATACCAATACTGGGATAGGAAGGAGCAGTACAAATGGTTCGGGCTCCACCTGAACCAGAAAGGGACCAAAGTCCTAGCGGAAACGGTAAATAGGGCTGGAGCAAAGGCTTTAAACTGGTAAACGGCAGGAAGGGATCAGAAGGAAATGACTCAAGCCAAACAAAAGTAAGAAATAAGGAGAATATAAGTGGTCAGGGAATTAATATAATTATAGAACAGAAGTGTGAAAACACTGTCAAAAATAAAATTAGAGGAAAATTAATAATAATGAATTAAACTGTCTCTTCAGCAATGTACACAGCATCCAAAATAAACAGGAGAACTGGAGGCAATAACTCGTAGTGAGGAACCAGATATAATTGGGATTACTGAAACGTGGCTACAAAAGGGACAGGACTGACAGCTAAACATTGCAGGGTGTAACGTATTTAGAAAGTATAGAGATGGGAAAAAGGACGGTGGAGTAGCTGCACTCGTTAGGGATAACATCATGGCAGTAGAAAAAAGGGACATAGCCAACAGTGACTCCACACGCTCTGACCTTATTCATTAGTCTACAGAAACAGAATTAGGATGGATAGAGATAAAAGATAAGAAGGGATCAATAACACAAATAAGGCTACTCTACAGACCTCCTAACAGTGGAAGGGAGGTAGAGGAAGAAATATGCAAGCAAATTAGGGAAATGAGTAAAAGACACAGAGTAATAATCATGGGGGATTTCACCTAACCCCAAATAAATTGGCTAGAAAAGGTAGGTAAAATGGATAAGGGAATGGAGTTCCTTCAATATGTACAGGACTCCTTTCTTACCCAGTATGTAAGGGGCCCAACAAGGGGGAAATCCCTGCTGGATTTAGTAATGGGAAATGAACCAGAGCAGATAAGAGAAGTAGGAGTAGTGGAATAACTAGGCAATAGCCATTATAACTTAATAAGGTTTAAGATAAAGATTGAGAAGGCCACGAGTAAGACAAAGACCAGGGTAATAGATTGGGAAAAGCTGATTTTGAGGAGATGAGAATGGAAGTTGGGAAAATAAACTGGAAAACAATACTGGAAAACAAAGAGATAGAGCAGCAGTGGGAAACATTTAAAATAGTGATCAATAGAGTCCAGGAGAAATATATTTCGCTAAAAAGCAAGACAAAGCTAAATAATAATGAGACACCATGGATTAATAAAGACTAAGGGCAAAGTTGAGACTCAGGAAAGAGGTGTTCACTAAGTATGTAAACAACAAGGGAGAGCGTGACAAAAAAGAATATGAAGAGGTCAGGAAAATAGTCAAAAAAACAATTAGGAAGGCAAAGAGGAATGAATTATTAAATTATCAAGGAATATAAAAAGAAATAGTAAAATATTCTACAGACAAATAAATAACAAAAGGAAAATCAAAATAGGAATAGGGCCACTAAGGGATCGACAAGGTAAGCTCACAGGCTGCGAGAGTGAAATGGCAGAAATATTAAACAATTACTTTGCCTGAGCTGTCCTTTCTCCCTCACATCCTCACCACAACTGGCACCGCCTTCCATCACCTCCGGAACATTGCCAGACTACGGCATTACTCACTGTACGACTACCCCTCACGCTGCTGAAACCCTGGTCCACGCCTTTGTCACTTCAAGGCTGGACTACGGGAACTCTCTCCTCGCCGGCCTTCCCGCCACTTCCCTCCACAAGCTGCAGGTCATTCAGAACTCTGCAGCTCGTGTACTGTCCCGCACCAGGCTTCGGACCACATCACTCCCACCCTCGCTCGCTTCCACTGGCTCCCCATCCCCCAGAGGATTGATTTCAAGATCCTCATCCTCACCTACAAGGCCATTCACGACCTTGCTCCCTCCTACCTCTCCAACCTACTATCCCCCTACCTACCTGCCCGTACCCTCCGTTCCTCTGGCTCCGGTCTGCTCCACGTCCCCCGCCCCAACTGCCCTACTATCGGTGGCCGGGCCTTCAGCCTCTCAGCCCCGAGGCTCTGGAACTCTATCCCCCAGTGCCTTCGCTGCCTCCTCCCTCTCCTCCTTCAAGGCCGGTCTCAAAACCTTTCTCTTTGACCGAGCCTTCAGCTCCCCTCTCGACTCTCTTCCCCCTCCTCGCTCCCTTCCTTCCCTCCCCTCACCCTGACCATTTCCCCCCTCCTCGCTCCCTCCCTTCCCTCCCCTCACCCTGACCATTTCCCCCCTGCTCGGGTCATGACCCAACTGTGCAGCGCCTTGGGACGTCCTCCTGACGTGAAAGGCGCTTTATAAATGGAATCTTGTTGTTGTTGTTGTTGCCTCAGTATTCACCAGGGAGACGGATCAGGTGGATATGACAGTAGAAGAAGAGAGCAAAAATAATATAATACATTTAAGGTACAAAGGGGAGATATAATTGAAAAACTAACGAAACTCAGAGAAGATAAAACCCCTGGTCCAGATGGATTATATCGGTGTATATTAAAAGAATCGAGGAAAGAAATAGCAGAGGTACTATTACACATATATAATAACTCATTAGAAAAGGGAGTAGTGCCAGAGGACTGGAGAATAGCGAATGTTATACCTACATTTAAAAAAGGAGATAGAACAAGCCCAGGGAACTATAGACCTGTCAGCTTAACATCGGTAGTAGGAAAGATAATGGAATCCTTACTGAAGGAGGTAATAGAAAAAACATCTAGAAACGATAAATATAATAAAGAATAGTCAGCATGGATTTCAAAAAGGAAGGTCATGCTTGACCAACCTCATTGAATTCTTTGAAGGGATAACAGAAAGAGTAGACAAACGTAATGGGATAGATGTAATATATTTAGATTTCCAAAAGACATTCGATAAGATGCCACATAATAGACTAATGAATAAGGTCAGAGCATGTGGAGTCAGGGGAAAAATAGCAGAATGAATAGCAAGCTGGCTGCAAAATAGAAAACAGAAAGTAGAGGTAAAGGGTATTCTAAATGGCTGTCTACAAAAAAATCACAAAAGATTACAGAAAATAGTGTGAAGGACTTTGAGAAATTTCAATATAGGAGACAATATAAAATGCCATTTCTTTGATTTGCACATGGCGAAGCACTGGTGGATGCCTGTGAATTCCCCTATCCTATGCCTTTCCTGATAGCTGCAATAATAATTCCTAAATAATTCCTATTCTGAAGTGGAATAGACTTAGTATGTTCTGTTCTCTCTATCTCTCGCAGGTGAAGAAAGATGCCTTTCGCCGACATAATGATTGCTGATAAGACTGCATTGTTGAGCTGGACAGTAGCCTGCAATTTGAAGCCCTCTGACCGGTGAGGTAACCCTGCCCTTAAAGCGACAAGCCGTCCTGGTGGAGTGACTTGCACATCTCTTTTGCCTGGTTTGAGTACAGAAGTAGGTAATATTGGGACTTGATGGTTCCCTGATGACCTTGTTCAAGTGTTTACTGAACAGTTTCCCAAAGCCGGTGGAGTCCGGTGGTGCTTCCCCGTGCAGTGGAGGTGCAGTTTCTGCTGTGCTGCCCCTAGGCCCTGGCAGCGCAGAGTGTGGGATTTTGGGATCAGGCTGTGGCTTGTGTTTGCAGGATCAAATTTCCTGGTTGCTTCCGGAAAAGCGTGGTTTTAAAGTAATGCCATTTAATGGGCAGATGCTGGCACCATCCAAGTGTCTAAATGTTGTGTTATGTTGGCGGTTGTAAAATATGAAATCATTGCTGTTGGCACCTCACCAGTTGGATCTGTCCTTCACTCCAAATTGCAGTTCTTACAGTCAGTGCTTTATCCCCACAAACCACAGACTGACAAATCTATTGTTTTTGCCAAATCATAGAAATTACAGCACAGAACGTCCATTCAAACCATTTAGTCTTGTTAATGCTTTTCTCCGCATGAGCCACTTCATTTTTTTCCACTCTCCTTACCTTTAGATATTCTTCTTTCTCAAGCAAATCATGGCACATGCAACGAACAAACCGCTGCTGTCCTGGCTGGCATGGGAGAGGGTAAAGGTGATATGCCTGAAATCCCCCCTCACACACACACAAATTCTGTGAGAAAAATTCCTCCAGTTTTGCTGGAGGGTTGTGGGAGCAAACAGTGACAGCCTTCATCTTAGCGTTGAATGTCACCGGTTGCCTTTTAGAAACTGAACTTACTCATTCACAAGATTGTTTTGGATGAAGATCCCTTTTCGGCTCATCCTATTTTATCTTTCCAGAACATCCACCCATCACAGCATCAAGCTGCTTTTTCAATGAGTCCAGTGTCCTGGCCTCAATCACCTTTTCTAGCAATCTGTTTCAGTCGTTGAACACCCTTAGAGAAAAGAAAAACTTCCTGGTATCTGTTCTGAAGTTGCTTTTTACAACTCTAAACCTATGTCCTCTTGTTCTGCTGTCTTAATTATTAATCTGGCTTTACTTTTTCAATCCCATTTAAGTGCCATATAGCTCTATAATACAATAATGATACTAATAATAATCCTTGCATTTGATATAGCGCCTTATCGTGTCATTGAGACGTCTCAAAGCGCTTCACAGAATATACTGTAAAGTGAATTAACTGTATATTTTGTGGGCGAAATGCGTAAGCCAGTTGCACACAGCAGTGTCCAACAAACAGTTGTGGATCGAGGTAACCAATTTTTTTTAAAGAAATTATTACACCCAGAAAAGCGATCCGCGATTCGACTAACAACTGGATTCCTACTTACTGCTAGGTAAACAGAGCCGTGTGGAGTAAGGAAACTTGCCCAACATTTCACTCTGCAGGGAATTGAATCCAGGTCACTCGCTTGCGAGGCGAGTGCTCTAACCACTCTATGAGGTCACCTCTGAGTCTCAAGACTGGAGAGCTCTAACTTGTCAAATTGTTGCTCATTTCCTGGCCAATAGAAAAGTGCGTCTGCACTTTTTCCGTGGAATCTGCAACAAACCCACTATAACTGTCGTTTCTGGCCTGTGGGCCGCTCGCGCTGTTTACCTGAGGGGCTACACTCAGAGCTCAGCTGTTGTGATTGTCTTGTATCTCTGTGTTTGTGAGTGTGTGAGTGTGTCTGTGTGTGTCTGTGTCTTTGTGTCTGGGTGTGTGTGTCTCTTTCTGTGAGAATGCATCTCTCTGTGTATGTGAATGTGTGCCTCTCTGTCTCTTAAGTGTGTGTGTATTTCTCTGACAATGTGTGTCTGTGTGTATGTGTCTCTCCCAGTGTCTGTGAGTGAGTGAGTGTGTGTGTCTCTGTGTCTCTGAGTGTGTGTGCGTCTCTTTCTGTGCCTGTGTGTGTCAGGCTTGGGGACAGCAGAGTGGGTCTTGGTGTACTGCTGGAGTCTAACCAGATAAAACCCAATAGCTTGCCATTGATGTTGCTATCCGGCAAGCTTTCCCGGTTCAGCTAGGTCCACCCTACCCGTTAGGGCTTTGGCTTGCATGGTTAACAAGAGCTGAGTGGGATGTCTCCCTGTCTCCAGTAACTGGTCTGCCCTTCCAGGTTCTGTGCTGTTATCAGCCATGTCCTGGAATTCTATGGACCCGCCAGGCTCAGGAACTGGACTACTGAGACCCTGGGGTACAGTTTATCTGACCCATGAGATTTAGTTTTAAGCCCCGAGCCTATTCAGAATTTCAACCTCACTTATGTTAAAGTCCTGGTGCTCAAACAATGTTTGCTGGCTGTTTAGTGTCCTCCTGATTTAATATATAAAAAAAACCTCTGGTAAGTAGTCATTTGAGTTCCTTAGGGTTTTAATGTCTTTCTTGACTACCTTCTTTCTGTTGTAATATTGAAAGAATTTTGGGGGTTATATTTTGGATTTGCTGCTATGTCCCCTTCCTCTTCATTCTTGGCTTCCCTAATCTCTTTTTTAACCTCTCTGTATAGTCTTGTATTCATCCTAATGGTCACCCTCTCCTTTTATAAGATTTATAAATCTTCCTTTTATTCTTTATCTCACTTTTTATTTTCCTATTGATCCTTGTTGATTTTGTTTGTTTTGCCTCTGCTGTGTCTGGGTATCTACTTGTCCTACGTGCACTGCATAATGTTCAAATGGAAAGTTCATTTATCCTCAACTAATTTGACCTTGAGTAACGCCTTCCAGTCAACGTCTCTTAACTCAGCTCTAATCCTCTTGAAGTTTGCCCACTGAGTATGGTTATGTACTCATGCTGTTTGTTTCCCAACAACAACAACAACAACGAGATTCCATTTATAGAGCGCCTTTCACGTCGGGGGGACGTCCCAAGGCGCTGTACAGTTGGGTCAGGATCCGAGCAGGGGGGAAATGGTCAGGGTAAGGGGAGGGAAGGGAGGGAGCGAGGAGGGGGGAAATGGTCAGGGTAAGGGGAGGGAAGGGAGGGAGCGAGGAGGGGGAAATGGTCAGGGTGAGGGGAGGGAAGGGAGGGAGCGAGGAGGGGGTAGAGAGTCGAGAGGGGAGCTGAAGGCACGGTCAAAGAGAAAGGTCTTGAGACCGGCCTTGAAGGAGGAAAGGGAGGAGGCGGCGAAGGCACTGGGGGATAGAGTTCCAGAGCCTCGGGGCTGAGAGGCTGAAGGCCCGGCCACCAATGGTAGGGCGGTTCGGGCAGGGGATGTGCAGCAGACCGGAGCCAGAGGAACTGAGGGTACGGGCAGGTAAGTAGGGGGATAGTAGGTCAGAGAGGTAGGAGGGAGCAAGGCCGTGAATGGCCTTGTAGGTGAGGATGAGGATCTTGAATTCGATCCTCTGGGGGATGGGGAGCCAGTGGAGGTGAGCGAGGGTGGGAGTGATGTGTTCCCGAAGCCTGGTGCGGGACAGTACACGAGCTGCAGAGTTCTGAATGACCTGCAGCTTGTGGAGGGAGGTGCCGGGAAGGCCGGCGAGGAGAGAGTTCCCATAGTCCAGCCTTGAGGTGAGAAAGGCATGGACCAGAGTTTCAGCAGCGTGAGGGGTGAGGTAATGCTGTAGTCTGGCGATATTCCGGAGGTGATGGAAGGCGGTGCCAGTTGTGGTGCGGAGCGGATATGAGGGAGAAAGAACAGCTCAGGGTCGAACAGAACACCGAGGTTCCTGACCGGCTTTGAGAGGTGGAGAGTGCAGCCTTGAATGCTGATGCTGTCAGTGCCTGAGGTGCGGAGGCGCTGACGTGAGCCAATCAGGAGGGCCTCAGTTTTACGCACATTGAGCTGAAGAAAGTTGTCTCTCGTCCAGGACTCGATGTCAGACAGGCAGCTGTCAGGACATCGGGGGTCGTGGAGTTGAGGGTAGAGGAGGAAAGGTAGAGTTGGGTGTCATCCGCATACATGTGGAAGTTAACCCCATATCTGTCCCCTTCTGGTATCCATCACACACAGAATACAGTTCAAGATCCTGGTTCTCACCTTCAAGCCCTCCGTAGTCTTGCTCCCCCCTACCTCTAATCCCCTGCCATCCTGCTCGCTCACTCTGCTCAACGGGCTCCAGCCTGCTTCACGCCCTCTGCCTCGCTCACCCCCTATTGGCGGGCGGGCCTTCTGCCACTCTGCCCCACCCTCTGGAATTCCATCCCGCAGTCCCTCCGCCTTGCCCCCTCGCCTCCTTCAAGACCCATCTCAAGACCGTCCGCTTTGGCCGTGCTTTTAATCACCCTGCTTCCCCACTGGCCCTCCATCCTCCCCGATCCCGCCCCCCAGCTCGGGTCCAAAACTCTGACTGTCCAGTGCCTTGGGACGTCCTCCCGACTTGGAAGGCGCCATACAAATGTAATGTTGTTGTTTTTGTTGTTGTACCTGGCACACTGAGTCAGGCATGCACTAGGTTTACAAGATCAGAGTCTTGCAAGGTTAACAGGAACTGAGTGGGATGACTCCCTGCCTCCAGTAACTGATCTGCCCTTCCAGGTCTTGTGCTGTCATCAGCAGTGCCCTGGAATACTATGGACCCGAAGCACGGGTGGGAGGGTGGCCGAAAGCACAGTCAAAGGAGAAAGTCTTGAGATGGGCCTTAAAAGATCCAAGGCAGCAGTCAAGGCGGAGAGATTCCAGGATGGAATTCCAGAGGGTGGTGCAGAAAAACTGAAAGCCAATGATGGGGCAGGCAGGACGGGGGACACCGAACAGGCCAATGCCCGCCTAGTGGGGATAGCATGATAATATCTGCAGGAGTGTTATTTCCAGTAAACAATGTGATAATATCTGCAGGAGTGTAACATTCTGTAAATACAGAATTATATAAACAGCTCCCCTCTCGACTCTCTTCCTCCTCCTCGCTCCCTCCCTTCCCTCCCCTCACCCTGACCATTTCCCCCCTCCTCGCTCCCTCCCTTCCCTCCCCCTGACCATTTCCCCCCTGCTCGGGTCCTGACCC